AGGGGATCTGGCTGGCAGGCACGCACGCACGCAGGGGAGCTGGCTGGCAGGCAGGCGAGCTGGCAGGCACGCACACGCAGGCAGGCACGCACGCACGCACGCACGCACGCACGCTCGCAGGCAGGCGAGCTGGCAGGCAGGCACGCACGCACGCACGCAGGGGAGCTGGGTGACAGGCAGGCGAGCTGGCAGGCAGGCAGGCACGCACACACACACGCAGGCAGGCAGGCACGCACGCACGCACGCAGGCAGGCACGCAGGCGAGCTGGGTGGCAGGCAGGCGAGCTGGGTGGCAGGCAGGCGAGCTGGCAGGCAGGCACGCACACACGCAGGCAGGCACGCACGCTCGCAGGCAGGCAGCTGGCAGGCAGGCACGCACGCACACACACACGCAGGCAGCTGGCACGNGGCTACTGTTAGGTAGGTATGTAGCGTGGGTGGTTACTGTTAGGTAGGTATGTAGCGTGGGTGGTTACTGTTAGGTAGGTATGTAGCGTGGGTGGTTACTGTTAGGTAGGTATGTAGCGTGGGTGGTTACTGGTTACTGTTAGGTAGGTATGTAGCGTGGGTGGTTACTGTTAGGTAGGTATGTAGCGTGGGTGGTTACTGTTAGNAGGAGAGAGAGAGAGAGAGAGAGAGATGAGAGAGAGAGAGGAGAGAGCGGAGCGAGAGCGACGAGCTGAGAGCGGAGAGAGAGAGAGACCGAGAGAGAGAGGAGAGAGAGAGAGGAGAGAGGGAGGGAGAGCGAGCGAGCGAGAGAGAGAGAGAGAGACGAGGAGAGGAGGAGGAAGAGGAAGAGAGAACGAGAGAGAGGAAGAGACGAGAGAGAGAGGAGAGAGAGAGAGAGAGCGCATGTGGGCGAGGTGAAGCAGAGAGAGCATGCAGTGTTACGCGTGATGTGCTGCGTTGTGTGGTTCGTTGGCTACTAGCGTCGCGGGTGAGGGAGCGCGATAACTGCCGAGCGTCTGCACGCTCGAGGGGACGGGGGGACGGATGGGAGCTGTGTGACGCAGCAGGAGGGTGGCGATCGAACTAGCGATCTATCGATTAACTGTAATAAACGTTAATAGACGCCTCGTTGAATGCGTCGAGTGGCTAATATAACAGAAATGTTGATGTGTGTGCGTTGCGTGCGTGCGCGCGTAGATGCGGCGCGTGCGTTCTGTTAACAGGTACTGGTCAAAGGGGCCAGATAATGCTACGCGCGAGTCTGAGGTTTTGGATGCCTGAACTGGCGGGGCGGGCGGGGGGGGGGGCGGGGTGCTTGTACTCTCAAACCGTTTACTTGGCGTTCACGGCAGGCAGGCCTCGTCCTTGTTTGAACCCAAGATGGTCACCGATGGTGTTTTTTCATGCGTGTGCGTGTTAGAATGTTACTGCCCCCCCCCGACCCCCAATACGACTATATACCGGCAATGACTAAAAGTGTGCTACTGGTAATCTTACTCGACGTTGAGATCAATGTGGTTCTTGTGAGGGTGGCCTTTCTTCCTTGGCTACCACTGACTCAATATGGCAAACCAGTGGCAAGGTGGAGACTTTTGTCAGAGACTAAATTAGCCAGATTTTAAACAAAATTTGTGTTAATATTAATATTAACATTAGTTTTTCCTCGTAGTCCGGAACTCTATATAAAGCGTATAAGAAACGTGTAACTTTACCATGTTTCTGCCAACGATCTATGAGAATAAGTTCATGTTAAGACTACGTTTAAGAGTAATTTTGTTTCTGACAACGGTCCCCGCCTTTCTATAACCACTGAACAGCCATTGTTCCGCTGAACTCAGTTTTACTCTTTAGAACAAAATAAAAACCCGCTCAACAAACAAAGAATTCCTCTCATTCCATGCTTGAACGCGTTGCTGTAAATGTATATGTTTATATTTCTCGTTTGACTTCTGGTTTTTCTTTGTTGTCGTTTTTGCATTTACGACTACCCTGACGACCAAGTGACGTCACTCTCTCACCAATACCTCCTGGTTTAGTGACACCTTAGTATACCTGACACGTATCCCTGATGCAAGGAACCCCTCTGCTTTATTCAAGTCTATCCCTAACACAAGTCTACAATGACACCCTGGTTTAGTCAGTCTATCTCTAACACAAGCCTACAATGACACCCTGGTTTAGTCAGTCTATCTCTAACACAATCCTACAATGACACCCAGGTTTAGTCAGTCTATCTCGAACAGAAGTCTGGACCCCCCCCCTCCCACCAGTGTTAAGAGTCACCGTCGTGCCGCCCCCCCCCCCCCTGGGTACAGCTGTATGTGTTGACACCGTGCGGTTCTCCCCCTCCCTGCTGTGACTGATAGGAGACTCTGCCCTAAACTGTTTGTTGGGGCAGGTGTGAGCGACGAATCGAAAGTCAAGGTGGCATGTGTTGGTGGAGCTAATCCTTTATCTTAACCCCGCGGTCGGCTGGGCTGGGCAGTTTAGCAGGTTCTAATGTCCGTGTTGATATACATCTGCCTGCCGCTGCTTCCATACTGCCTCTACCGCGTGTCAGCGGTCTCCGTGGCTGCGATGATGTTGATGATGTAGATGATGATGATGATGATGGTGATGATGATGATGATGATGATCTTGTAATATTACGTGCGTGTGGACGTACACGCCACAGTGGTAATTAGTAGCAAGGGGGAAGGAGGAGGTAGGAGGGATACCGCACGAGAAAGCTGATGATTGATGTGTACGAGTCTAGCCATTATCAGTCGCCTCAGCCTCGCAAGCGTTCGTAGCAGACGAAGAAGGCGAGGTGGGTGGGGCCGTGGGGGGTGTTACTGTATGTTGTGTGAGTGTTGAGCGGGGGCTGGAGGTCGTTAGTGTTAGGTTCGCTATGCAGCCGCTGTAGATGCGGCATGGTGACGTGTATGTGTGTAGACAGACAGACAGACAGACAGACAGACAGACAGCTGTGTTACTGACGCAGCTTGCGACATATAGAGGAGGGAGAATGCATGACTGTGCCATGAGCGTGTTGTTAGCACGTCACTGTGCCATGAGCGCGTGGTTATAGCACGTCATTGTGCCGCGCGCGTCACAATGGCCGAATGGCAACAACATCTTATTCTTATTCTTATTGGCTGCGATGCTGTTGAGTTTTAGTAGGTCTCAGGGGAGAGATAGTGAATATAGAAATAAGTTGTGGATATAGAAATCAGTTAACCCTAACCCTAACCCTAATCCTGACCCTAACCCTAACCCTAACCCTAACCCTAACCTTATCCCTAATTCTAAAATAAAACAAAATTATCCAAAAATAATAAACAATAAAATAAATAAAAGACAAAATTAGCCAATCAGAGCCGTTTTTGTTAGCATTTAACGCGCCCTCTAGCGGATCACTATCTCTCCCCTGTGCAAAATTTGTTGAGCTTTTTGCGCGGATGGAGAGAGAGTCGCGAGTCTATGTCAATATTTCCGGTAGATTTTCGTAAACACGTGATAAGAACTTCACCGCACGTAAAATCACAACGAGAGCTGTCTAGAAATGCATATTGCGTCAGTTTAGTTTGTATTTACTTTCAAGAAGCTAGTTTCATCTTAATGAATACACTTTTCTGCAAATGTATGATAGTACGCAAGATCAGAATAAGATCTCATGGCCTCTATGCCCTGTTGATACACACTCTAACGAACTGTAAGGCTTTGTAAAAAAAATTGTGCCACTATGGTAGACGCTGGCAGCACAGTTCTAACAGTGCTGCCATGTTAATGCGCCGCTGAATTTTATGAGAGTTCCTCGTAACACAGATATATATCATACCAGCCAGTTATATTGTACAGTGAAGAGTCGGTCGGTCGCTCGCTGGATGGGATGGTCTTAGCATGACATTACGTGTTCTCTAACAACAAAACGAACAAGGTTCTAGAACTATATAGCATGTGATTCACATTCTGTATTCCATTCGTCACGTCCATATACATGTCCTTAAACATGTGGATTGCTATCGGAAAATCAACCCTTTAACATACAAACTTGTAAAGCGATCATTTTAATGTCGACAAATCTGCGCAACAAACGTTGTGTGGCAATAATTGTGTAGTAATTCTAACCCCAAGATTCTGTAAGTGTCTGTGGGTGTAATGATGAGTCACCGCCATGCTATTCAGAGGCAAGAGTATATATGCACGAGCAACTGATAGATTCCTCTATATCGGCGGCTCTGCAACGGCTATGAAGATACGTGCTTGTATATCGCCTACGCGTGCGTGAGATCTTTATCTCGGGGTGTGAGTGCTGTGTGCAGGTGTACAAGTCTAAACCAGTGCTGCTTGTACTTTGGACAGGTCGATGGTGGCATGGCTGAAGCTTCACAAGGTGTCAACTCTGCTGTGGAAACGCGTGATGCATGCACAGGTATGTAGCAACGACCATAACCACATGCGGTGTCCCTGTCACCGTGCTTATACCTTGTAAGACTCCTGCAGTAATGGCAGTTATATGTGCACTCGTCCTTGGTCGTGTGTACGAGTGTTGGCGGTGTTGATTTTTCCAAGTGCGTTTATCATCTACATAAGTGTAGATAACGTTGTCACAATAGGTGGGCCGGAAAAATATGCGGCGGGAGCCGATGGCAAAACGCCTGTAAACGCCGTCGTTTATTGAAATCCTGCTATTTCGTCGGTCGTGCGCGAGCGCGCGGGGTCGTTTGCTTTGTGAACGTGTTTCACAAAGACCTGACTGTTGTGCTTGTGTTGTCCTTGCCGCTGTTAGGTACAGGCACTAGTATCGGGACCAGCATAGAACCGGACTGTTTCGGACCGTGTGAGCCTGGCACAAGTGTTAACCTAGAAGGCATTGTCTGGCAAAAGCCAGTAAGGGGGGGGGGACACGCTGCGTCAACGTGTTGTCACCATGTTATTAGTCATCACTGCCCAGTGACATTCTTTGTCTTCCTAGGGGGCGTCACACAGCCTGCCTGTCTGTCTGTCTGTCTGTCTGTCTGTCTCTCTCTCTCACGTACGCACGCACGCACGCACGCACGCACGCACACACATCGTTACTCATTAGTCATTAGAGGCTTAACCTCATGGGTCCGGGGAATCCGACCATCCGTAGTGGTCGCGAATCACGTTCTAGTATCATTCTAAGGAGTTGTTCTTTGTCCATTCCCAATACTCGCTCAATTGTCAGCCATCTATCAGGCTGTCGGCACTTCCCTTGACATGCTGACATGTTGTCATGATGTTATCATGAACAGTGACTGCTTCTGCACGGTAGAATTCTCCATTCGTACACAGTGACCAAGCCATTCGATGTAAATCCTCTCTTGATAGACTTTCAGTGATTTGGCTCCCGTTAGTCGGTAGATACACACGCGCGCGCACGCACGCACGCACGCACGCACTAGCATACCACTCTCTCACTCTTTCTACTCCTGTAATACCGCAGAAATACATATAGTATAATAGTAATAAAGTAGTCTCTCTAGACAGCAGCTTGACTGAAACATATATACTCGTTGCACTGCTGCTTTCGCAACTGACTGCTTGAATTTCAGTAATACTGTATGTAGTGAAATCTTGTGCATACTATGTAGTATATTTGTAGTAATTATAAGGATGGTCAGTTGTTAGCCAAGCCTGTTGGGAGTTCTATCTGGTGAAACTGACCGCACTAGTTGTATATTTTACTGAAAGATATTTACTATAAAATCCTAAAACTGATTTTCCTTTTTCGGACAATAATTTTGCGTTCATGATGGCATCAGGTTACGTGCGAGCAGAAAATGTTAACCAGAGTTAAACAGCTAGGAATTTGCATTGTCTTTTAATGCGAATGTTCGAGTTCTTTCGGTTCGAAAATTGCTTGTGGCAAGGTCGACGAAAGTACGATTATCGTGATAACATTGTTCTGACGTGTTGTACGGTAACTGACGGTGACTGGAGCCAAACAACTGATGAATGCAGCCATCAGTCTCGTATCTTATAACGTCGCTGCTGTAGGACAATTGGTCGCTCGCTCTCTCGCTCTCTCTCCCTCTCTCTCGCTCACGCGCTCTCTCTTTCTCTCGCTCTCTATCTCTCTCTCTCTCTCTCTCTCTCTCTCTCTCTCTCTCTCGCTCTCTCGCTCTCTCTCTCTCTCTTTCTCTCGCTCTCTATATCTCTATAGATATCTATTTTTATCTCTATCTCAATCTCTCGCCATAATAACTTCAGTTGGATTGCATGGTTAGCCGTTGCCGTGTGTATGCGTGCGTGCGTGCGTGCGTGCGTGCGTGCGTGCGTGCGTGCGTGCGTGGTTGCGTGCGTGCGTGCGTGTGCGGTTAGCCGACAACTCAGTGAAATATTATATTACGCGGACGATTGTCAATGAAAGCTCGTTGGGATACACCATCTGTGATTGTCGATACATAGACTCATAGTGAATTATCCGTTGTTTAGCCTGACCTAATGTTTTAACTCTCCTAACCTAAAACCTATGAGCACATGTAACACAAATAACTCCTTATACAATCCTTGTAGCATCGTATATGCTGATTCCGTACCACAAATGGCATTTTGTTCCACATAATTTACCGAAGTAATGTGCATTTGTACCAATGCATTTTATAACAAGTCATTTTGACTAGTTATGAGTGAGGAAATATCCTTAACTGATGACCTACTCAATCATATATAATTATTGAATGATATTTTTTGTCTGGTGTAAGATTTCTGGGTTGTGTGCATGTTAGTATGGTTTCACTCTACCCATTTCGCCTTATTTATCATACATATGACTCTGTTCTGTGATAAGTTGACCATTTTAAGTGAACACCTACTGAGTGGGAATCGATCGATCAATTCACAACTTTCAGTTTGGAATCAAATTGGAAAAAAACCCTTAATAATTACGTTCTAGATGTTTATCTAGAAGTTTGAGATGAGTTTGGAACAGAATTTCACACGTGAAATTGAGAGCGAGGAAAGGATCGCGTGAAACAACGAACGATCGAAACCCACGTTGCGTCGCGCGTTTTTGTTGTCGACTCCTTACTTAAGAATGCCCTGTTTTCCCCACCCGCAGGTCGTCGAGTGAGCGAGCGAGCGAGCAGCAGCAGCAGCAGCAGCATCCCTGCAGACTGGCCACCAGCGATAGATCAATGTTGCTGCCGGTAGAGCGAGCCCGCTCGTGCCATGAAGAGCAGCACGCCTGATGGCCCGGCGACGGCCACCCCACCCAGCAGCAACAACAATGACGTCAAGCCGGCGGTGAGCAGCAACTTTGACGATGACAACAACGAGTGGGAGTTTGCTGTGAACGACCTCATCATAGACCTGGATGCTGACATCGAGCGGAACACCGACGAGAAAACACAGCGGGCGCCACCGCAGCAGCAGCAGCAGCGCTCCCACCAGAGGGCGACACAGCAGCAGCAGCAGCGCCCTCTACAGGCAGGGCAGCAGCGCGGCGCGGCGCTGCCACGCGGCCAGCAGGGGGCAGCAGCGCAGCGCGGCGGCCACGCGCAGCAGCAGACGCGGGTGCCGGGCAACGCGATGAGTCATCAGCAGCCGCATCATCAGCAGCAGCAGCAGCAGCAGCAGCAGCAGCAGCAGCAGCAGCAGCAGCAGCCGCAACAGCAGCAGCAGCAGCAGCAACAGGGGAAGCCCAACATTGCCTCCTCCTCCTCCTCCACCCCCGTGGAGCACAGCTCCACCGTCGACAAGGGACTGAAGATGAAGATCAAGCGTAAGAACATCGCCGCTAAGTTGTCGTTGGCGTCGTCGGGGGCGACGGAGGCTGCGGGGGTGAAACAGGAGGTGATGATGAGGAGTGCTAGTGTTCCCGTTCTCACCGTCGCGTGCGTCGAGAATGGAGCCGCAGCCGCCGCCGCCGCACAGGTGGCGCTGCAAACAGCCGCCGCCGCCGCCACCGACAAACACGCGGCGGCGCCGGTCTCCGCGGACGACAGGACTACGTGCGTCGCGGAGCGAGGGGGCGCCACTGTGGTATGCGCCGCTGAGAAATTTGCGGCGTCGCCAACGACGACGATGGAGAAGACTTGTAAGGGACGCGGCCCTGTGTCTCACCGGCGGGAGAAGGCCAAGGAGAGGGTCGTGCGGACCACCGCCGCGGAGCACACTCCAGGGTTCCCGGGGTTCTCCTCGGCGGGGAAGGCGGCGGCGGGGACAGTGGGGAAGCTCCCGTCTCCGCGCAAGTTTGAGTCGAAGGCGGGATTGCCGCGGACTCCGGCGGGGAGTGAGGGCGCCACCGCGGCGGCGGCGGCGCGGGCGGCGGTCGAGCCACGGGGGCTTGCCAAGCTAGCACAGCAAGCGCAGGTTCACATGAAACCCCTGGTGGGGGTCGCGCGCGGCGGCGGCAGCGGCGGCGACCACTCACACGTGAACGGTGCAGTGCCGCCGCCAGACGCGTGGACACAGAAACACGGCGGCCCCGCGCCACAGCCAGGGGGCACCACCGGCAAGAACATTGCGATAAAGGCTGCGAGCCTCAATGTGGCGCTGGAGGAGATTAGCAAGAAGATCGTCATTAAGCAGGAGAAGGTAAGTTATCAACGCACGCACGCACACACAGACACACACATGCACTCACGCACGCCGATGCGTTGCTGTTGCTGTTGCGGCTGGCGTTTCTCATAGGAAATTAAACATGCGATCTATTATTGATGTCATTCTGGTTTCGTTTCGTTGAGTAGCGTGCGCCGCGGCCCGCTCCCTTGTAAAATTTCAAGCGTGATCTATTATTAATGTTACTTCCATTTCGATTGTCGCGCAACGTAAATGAATTTGTTCACGATGAATTTGCTGTCGCGGTGCAGGTTCTGAGATCATCGGACGAGGTCTAGGGACGTCGATTGTTCCACGGCATGCATTCCTAATTCTAACGGAATAAAAATGCGCCGCAAATTATCTTTTCGTTATTAACGCGTGCGATGCGATGTTTATTCTCTGTACAGTCACTGTCCGTTAGTCTGCGTCGCCCGCGTGGCGGTGGCAACCTCAAGGTCCAGTCATCTATCGTCGTCTTCACAGTTCGTTATTAGGTCCGTTAGCAGTCTCCGTTAGCAAAGCGAAACGTCAGGTTCCTGTCATGCATCTTCGTTTCTTCTCGTCCACAGCTTCTGCGATTCGCCGACGAGTGACCTTGAGACGCGCACGCCCAAGGGTCGCGGCAAGCGAGGTCGCTCGTCTAACAGCGCTCCCAACGACCTCTTCAACTACACGGAGACGCGCTCGGGAGGGGTGCACAGCAAGCTACGGAACGGGGCCAAGGGTCGCCGCGGCGGCGGCGGGGGCGGAGGAGGAAGCGGAGGAGGAGGAGGAGGAATGGGAAACCCGCCCCCTAGTCCCGCGAAATCCGACGTTACGCCCGTCGGTACGAAGCGGCGAGTTAAGGACGGCGACGATGATGTCAGAGTGTTCAAGCGCAGCCGCAGCAACTCCCGCGGCACGCCGACGCCGACGCCAACGGTTGCCGGGGGCGACGGCACGTCCGCCCCTGCATCGCCGCAGCTCATAGAGTGTCCCGAGAGGAACTGCGGCAAGAAGTACCGTCACATCAACGGTCTGCGCTACCACCAGTCTCATGCTCACCTCGACGCCGCGGGGGGAGACGCCGCCGCCTCCGCGACGGCAGGAGGAGGAGGAGGCGGGGGGAAGCAGACGGATCTGGATACGGAGAACGAGGAGGAGGGTCACGACGTTGCGTCGGACGAGAGCCGACCCGTCACGCCCACGCCTCCCCCCTCCTCCTCCTCTTCCTCCTCCTCCTCCGCCTCCGCCGTCGCCACGGCAACGAAGCCGGAGGAACTCTTCAAGAAGCCGCTCATCAACGCGACGACGACCACCGCTGAACCGCCCGCTGCCGGTCAGGGCTCCGTCGCCACGACAACGACGACGACGACGACAACGACGACGACGTCGCCGCCGGCGACCGCGGCCGCGGAGACCACAGCGGGAGAGAATGTGGAGAAGCCGGCGTCCGCTCAGCACACTTACGCGGCGGCGGCGGTGGCAGTGCAGCACGCCCAGCTCTACCCGAACCTCCCCGTCTTCTCTCGCCAGCAGGTGGCCGTTCCCATGGCAACGCTGGGCAGCATCGCGATCGCTCCCACGCCGGTGCCGAGTCCCGCCATCAGCACGGTGTCCATCGCCGCTCTGCCCGCCGTCACCGCCGCCGGCGCAGCAGCAGCAGCCGTCGCCGCCGGCAACACGGCGGACGCTGAGCGCAAGAAGAAAGGAGACAAGAGCAAGGTGCGGGCGAGTCCCGCTCGACCCCTCCCTCCCCCCGCCGCCGCCGCCGCGGGGGAGTGGACCAAGTCCGCCGGCTCCCCGACCGTGGCGCCCACGCAGCAGCCGCTGCAGGCGACCGTCGTGCAGGCGCCCTCTGGCGGGTCGCGGGCGGTGTCGCCCGCTGGTGGCTCTCACGCGGCGGCGGCAACGGTTGCTCCACCCCTGCTGAAGCCGATCCAGCCTAAGCATGGGAGCGACGCCGCCGCCGCCGCGGGCGACGTGTCGCCGGCCCCAGCGAGGCAGGAGAAGAAATCTAGACCTGCGAAGAAACGTGCGGCGAAGGAAGGCGAGGGTGACGGGGCGGCGGCAGCGGCGCGGGCGTACGACGAAGCCGCCATCAGCGGCGACGCTAGCGCCCTCCTGCAGGTGAAGACGGAGGCGGCAGCGGCGGCGGATGGTGGACAGAGTCCCGCGTACTCGGACATCTCGGACGCTAACGACAGTGCCCCCGTGCTGGAGCCGGAACTCGCTCCCGAGACGGAGAGCAAGGTGAAGGACGCGCCGCCGCCCGTCGTCGTCGCGAAACCCGCGGACACACAGCAGCAGCCGCAGCCATTCTCTCCCGGTTACATGTACAGCCCTTACTACCAGCAGCAGCAGCAGCAGCAGGCGTACATGATGGCGAGGGTGAGCCCGGGACCGTCCGCGATGCAGCGTGACCCCGCCACCAAGCCTTCTGCCGCGCCGCGCGACGCGCAGAGAGAGAAGCCTGCCGAACGCAAACACGAGGATTCCGAACCGAAGAAGAACCCGCGCGTGGAGGAAGCCGAGAGGATGCAGCGGGAGGCTGAGCGAGCGATGCAGCAGCAGCAGCAGCAGCAGCACCAGCAGCACCAGCAGCAGCAGCACCAGCAGTCGGTGGCAGTGATGCGCCAGCAGCAGCAGCAGCAGCTGGTGCAGCAGCAGCAGCAGCAGTACAGCATGGCGGCTTACGGCTACCCGTACGGGCAGTACGTCGTAGACCCGGCCTACCACATGCACCTGATGACGTCCGACCCGAACTACAAGCAGCAGTATGAACGTTATCTCATGGAACAGGAGCGAATGCGCAGCGAACACATGCAGCGTCAGCAGCAGCAGCAGCAGCAGCAGCAGCAGCAGCAGCAGCAGCAGCACGGCGGTGGTGGTGGTGGCAGCGGTGACAGGAGCCAGGCGTTAGGTCCCGGGGGAGGGGAGCATCGGAACCAGCATCAAGCCGGCGGCGAACACAGACAGTTGGGCGGCTTCGAACAGAGACTTCAGCCCCCTGGTGGCGACCCGCGGCACGAGCCGCCCCCTGGTGGTGACCCCAGGCATCAGCAGCTGGGCGGCGACTCGCGACATGCGCCGTCGATGAGCGGCGAGCACAGACAGCAGCCGTCAGGTGGCGCTCCCGGGCAGCGCGGCGACCAGCGTCCGAAGCCAGCGCGGTCGGGCGAGGCGGCGCGTCCCGAGAGCAAGGATAGCTCGCTACGACCCTCCTCGCTCTCTTCCTCCTCCTCCTCCTCCTCCTCTTCCTCCTCCACCGCCGCCGCCGCCACGTCGCAGGGAGACACCGCAGCGAGGAAGCTTCCCTCGGAGAAGGAGCGGATAGAGAACGCTCTTAAGGAGAAGCAGAACGAGAACCACGCGATCCTGCGGGAGAGCATCGAGCTCAAGGCTCAGATGGGAGACGGCGCGCGCAAGTACGACGGCGCCGCCGCCGCCGCCAGCGCCACCTACGAGCAGCAGCAGCAGCAGCAGCAGCAGCAGCGCCTCTACCAGCAGCAGCAGCAAGAAGAGATCCGACGCTACATGATGCAGGAGAGAGCGAGCGTCGAACACAAGCGCATGGACGCGAAGCCGGGTGGAGGCGGCGGTGGTGGCGGCTCGCGACCCAAGGACTCCTCCCCGGATCGTAAGAAGCCACGCACGGACACGGAGGGCAAGCTACGCACGGACGCGGAAGGGAAACTACGCACGGATGCGGAAGGGAAGCTGCGCACGGATGCGGAAGGGAAGCTGCGCACGGATGCGGAGGTGAAGCCACGCACGGATGCGGGGAGCGGCAGCGGCGGCGCGCAGAAGGAGCAGCAGTCTCCGTCGTCGTCGATGACACGACCTCGCAGCCGCGACAGCAAGCAAGCGCGCGCCGACGTTAAAACCGAGGTGGGGGTGCCACCGTCGCTCTACGCCAGTCCCTACATGCACCACCCGCAGTACATGCCGCCGGCAGCGTTCGCCGCGCCACTGCACTTTGACCCGAGTCACCCGCTGTACCAGGGCGTTCCCCCGGCGATGCTCTACCCCGGGGCTTACATCCCGCCGCAGATGCACTACCAGGTCCACGTTGATCAGCGCATGAAGGTCGAGAAGGGCTTGCTGTCGCCGGGGGGTGAGCCACCGAAGGCACTGGAGCTGCTGCAGCATCACGCCTCACAGTACTACACCCACCATCACATGCAGCAGCAGCAGCAGCTGCAGCAGCAGCAGCAGCAGCAGCAACAGCAGCAGCAGCAGCCGCCGCCGGCACCGTCACAGCTGCCGCCGCCGCCATCGCTACAGCAGCAGCAACAGCAGCATCATCATCAGCAGCAGCAGCAACAGCAGCATCATCATCAGCAACAGCAGCAACAGCAGCAGCAGCAGCAGCAGCAGCAACAACAGCAGCACAAGATACATGAGCTGGCCGTGCCGCCGGAGAAGAAGGCTTCCCCCGCTCCGTCGACGCCGACGTCTCGTCCCGGCAGCAGCAATGAGAAACCGAGGAGTGATTACCGGGAGTCTCCTCCCGCGCAGAGGCACGTTCACACGCACCACCACACCCACGTCGGCGTCGGAGTCGGATACCCCATCGTACCGCCCGCGGCACCAAGACCATTCGATCCGTACGTCGTAAGTGGTTTTCTGAGACGTTTGCGCACGCTCTGCTCTCACTCGCGAGAGAGAGAGGGACAGGGTTCGTAGCGGGTCTTCCAAAGTCTTATAAGTACTTATTTCAACATGTGTCTTACTACTATGAATCCTGAGAGAGAGGGAGAGGGTGTCCAATTCTATAGCTGAGGTATCGCTCGCGCCACATTGTGAGCTGATTTCTCTCTAATTACTAGTATACTATGTGGGCATACCGAATATCGTCATAATATCGTGGCCTAATTCGCAGAGCGAATGTGCGCCAAACTGAACACTAACATTTATTTTTCACTCTGTCTGTTTATGACAGTTCAATTCAATTCATTTCAAAAATATTTATTTGTGCCGGATTATTTTTACACACATATATTATTATATATATATATATATATATATATATATATCACTTAATAACTGTATTTAACATATAATAAAACCTAGAGCTAATTATACCTATCTAGGGAATTAAACTCTTCATAAAACTAAATTACACGTGGCAGCATAGGTATAAATGTGTAAAAGTTCATATCTGGGTGTGTATATAATTTCTAGAAGGTTATCATAGAAACCAGCTTTCCCTATCTCTGCGGCGATGACTGCTTGTGGTACACGCTGCTGCTTGGGTCTCCTGATCGTGACATAACTACAACAAGATGGCCATCAGCTCTCACGCAGCAGCAGCATAACATAGATGCATCTATTTCATAGCTAAGCCACTCTGGATAGCTGCGTGTGTGGAAGCGTGTTAATTCCATCCATCAGTACAGTTGACGTATAGTTGTGGCGTGTAGAATGCCTGTACTGCTGTTCTGTTGCAAATTATAAGAGTTTGTGCACGTACAAGTTGAGATATCTTCTTACACGAACTCTTGCTCACTGACTGTAAGCATGAATGTATCACGGGAAAATTCGAAGATTTTAATTACCAGTCACATTGATCGTCAATTGTTTTCGATTATAGATCGTTCCTGCAGTGACACAATTCATTTGCGTAGCTGCTGCTTCTGTAACTGCAACGTGTATGATGAAAAGCTAATAATTGAAGCTATTGTGTGTAAACATTTGTAAATAGAGGCATTTGCTACATGCATGAGGTAATGCTCTGCTCAGCTCACGTAATCCTTGTGTGTGTATTGTCGTAATTTCAACACTGTTCTGTTATTCTGTTGTAGGAGTGAAAGGCCCTAACCCACAGCTGCTGCTGCTGCTGCTGCTGCTGCTGCTGCCACACTGCTACCAGACGCTAGGCCGATGATGCCGCCTACGTAACTGTGATAAAGGAGATCTTCTCATCTCTTTGACGCCATGTCCCGCATCTTTGTTTCTGCCGACAGACGTAGCGCTGTAGCGTAGCACTCAGACGTGACGGACACGGACAGTGAGTGTGAGAGAGGGAGGCGGCGTGGTGGTGTAGCCCACGAGTGGAAGCCGCGCTGTCGTCATGGTGACCGACTACACAAACACACCAACACGCGCGCTACTTTGCGGCGGCAGATTCCTCCTGTGGAGTAGATGGCGCCACATGTAATCCAGCCATATTGTGTTGGGTGTTTGATAGCTAGACATTATCGGCAGTTGCTAAAAACATGTCAGCTCTGCTCCAGTGATGAGAGCTCGGCTTGTGATTGCACAAGTTGCACCCCACCCTTGTACACTGCCGAGGCACCCAGCCAGGTTTAAGTGCTGGAAACAGTGCTGTACATCAAAGAACCTGACAGTCTTTCAACTGCAAGCAGCACAGATATGCATTTATCGATATATTAGGTATTGTATAGTTGTTGAAGCATATTAGTGTGTTTTGTGTCAAATTGGTAATTGCCAAATTCCCCGGTATGAAGTCCACAGACTTGGTAACTAAACTTCTGTATATTAATTGTTCAGTCACAG